TGAGAATATATTGGCAGGAGAATTTAGAAGTGAAATTACTGGGGACCGTTGTAAAAAAAAAAAAAAAACAAAAGCCAACATAGTACATAAATCTCTTCCAAACATGGCAAGAAGTAGAAGTTCATGCTATTAAATGAATTAATGAGATGTGGGAAAACAACATAGCAGAGAACAGTGGCCTGCAGGTACTTAATGTCAGTCAAATAATTAGCCTGGTGACCTTGGGCAAGTCTTATACCGTCTCTGAACCTTAGGTTGTTTATAAAATGATCACTGGGTCATTCAAAGCTGAGGGAGAAACCCACAAACCTATGCACTTTAAAAAACTTTTTTAAGACTTTATTTATTTGAGAGAGAGAAAGAGAGCATGAGTGGGTGGGGGGGAGCAGAGGGAGAGGGAGAAGCAGACTCCCTGTGGAGCAGGGACTCGATCCCAGGACCCCAGGATCATGACCTGAGCCAAAGGCAGATGCTTGACTGACTGAGCCACCCAGACGCCCCTTTGAAAGTATTTGCTATCCTGAGATACAGTGTAATGTTTGCCTCGACTCCTCCTCGGCTTTTCCTTGCTGAGCTATGTGAGCTATTGGTTTCAGGTTCTATTACTGTCAAAGGGTTGGCGCACTCTGTTGTCAGCTTCCATTTTCCAGGAATGTGCAGTGCCGTAAAAATACCCCAGAGAGCCGACTGAGGAGTCCGACCTGGACTCTTGTCCCAGCTGTGTGACATTGGGACATCCTCTTCTCTTGTAGGGCCTCACTCCATTGTTGAGTGGATGAACACATTGTGAGGTTTTGGATTTCAAAGGGTAAAGCCCCATTTCCCATTTTTCCCACTTTTTTTTTTTTTAACAAAGAATAGGATAAATATGTCTTTGCAGGATAAACATGTCTTTGCCATGTTCAATTTCCAAATGTCACTGAGTCCTTATAAGCTTCCTTCCTTCCTGTGGATAATGTTTGCTCAGGAACATGGGCTGCCTGAGGAGCCCCAGACAGAGGAGACAGAATTGCTGGTGGGAAAGATTAGACTAATCCCCAACAGCCAGCAGGGCCATTGCTGAAATGTTTTCTTAGGGTTCTGTCTATGGTGCTGTTGTGACAGGTAATCATTTACTCCCTGAAGTAAGCGCTGAGCTGTCCTGAGATAGGGTTGTTCAGAAAACACTGATCAGAATGTGGGCACCACTACAAGATCTGAATAACCTGGAGCAACTCCATGGACCAGAGGCCCTCTGTCTTCCAGGGAATGCTGGCCATCCATGACTGGTGGCCAAACAAGGACTTGATCAATGAAGACTGTTGTTGGTTGGTAATGGAAGTGTAAATGTAACCTTAAGTATTGAACTTTGCTTGTAGTTTCTTTATAAATATTTTAGCTCAAGTTTAGGCTTGGGCCTTCAGGGATTATTAGGGGAGGAGTGGGGGGGATGTACGCACAGAAAGAGACAGGGTCTTAGCAAGGAGATCTGACTGACTGAGATTGTACAATGTTGAGAAACGTGAGTGAATTGAACCTGCTGTTTTATAGAAGCTTCTTTGCTCCGTCAAGAAAAATCCCACCTTCCACCTGAATCTTACCCATCCGTGAACGAATCTGTCATCATGGATGTTCCCCAGTGCTCCTTAATGTGCAGACTGAGGTGAATCTCTACACTCACAAAATTCGACAATGGGAATGGAGGTCCGCTGGCTCCTTAATTTGAGGTCTTGTCTGCCTCCAGGCCACCTGAGGCTGAGCACTCCCCTGGCACTCAGCACTTGTGACTACGGGGAGAATGGCTGCCATCTTGGTCAGATCTTGTCCACTTCAGGTCCCGAAGACTGTATCCAGATGTCTAGTCATTTCTTAGCTGGAAATTCTTGGAAGCCCAGTGTGTGGGAAGTTGGTATTCCGGTCAGAATTTTTCCCCTATCGTCACCACATGGAGCTCACTATTCTCAGTTCTAGAGCTTTCTCACCTGGTCCCACCCCATTCTTCCCACAGTCTATGATCCCAATGCATCTTCCCTCCTCCTTCCTTGTTGCTTATGTCTTTCTATGCTTACAGCCTCCCTGGCCATTGGCCATCTCAGGCTGGCTTTCCTCTTCTGGGGTCCCTCATATCTGCTCCTGGCCCATGTCCAGATACCCAACCTGGAGACTGGGTCTTTGGAAAAAGAACCATGAAGACACTCCTACGGGGTCAAGCTGTGGGCTTTCAAAAAAGCCCCTGCCCGTGCTGAAGATTCTTTGTGCCACCACCACCATCTCTTCTGCTTGTCTTTCATAGCTTTCCTCTCCTGGGTTCTTTTCTAGCTCCTGAGACCCCAATTCTCAGAGCTCCCCTGGCTTGGCAGTGTCACCCTGTTGGTTGACTTCACTTGTCAGTAGGCACCATGGATGACTGGTCTGCAGAACCCACCCTGTGTTGGGCTGGTGTCCATCTTCACAGCTAAGTGCCTCTCACATTGGCCATGACCTGTCCAGGGGCCCAGCTCTGCTCCACAGCATGCATGTGAGAAGTGGGGGAACATCTGTCTTGCGCTCCCTCAAGTTGCCATGGCATGGAGCAGTATTAGAGCGAACTCTTCTGGTCTCCTCTCCACCTCTCCCGAACTCCATGCAGCCTGTATCTGTCAGGCCACATCTTCCAGGAGCAGGAGCATCCCAGCAAAATGCAGGCAACAGGGGCCCCGTTTTCTCAGCTTCCCTAAACCTGTGATGATGGCTTTTTCCTCTTCTCCTTCCCAGCATCTTGGCCCAGGCTTGGGAGGGTCACTTCCAACTTGGGAGGCAGGAAGAAAGCCCTGCCGGGCTCTCCAAACCAGCCTTCCACTTTGGGTGAAGGGGCTCATTTACTCTGATCCTTTTTTTAGGCAGATTTGGTCTAGTTATCAACTGATCAGACCTGGAAGGGAGAAAGAGCTAAGAATAGGATCTTCTCACTTCTGGTAAGTAGCAAGAATTACGGTACCATGCATGGCTCTCCTACCTGGTTGCTAACCCCGGTTTTCTTTAACTCCTCATTCTCACGTCTTCCTGGCTGCAACCAGGAGGCTAATGGTCTTCTTCTGATTTATAAATCCTGCTTCCTTCCTAAAGAAGCCTCCTTCTGCCCCTCAGACCAGGGACCTCTCCCAGGCCCCCATAGTCAATACTGGTGCTGGATCACCTTTGGAAAAGCACAATAGAATGACCCTTTTCTCCCTTCCATGTGTCTGTACTTCTGGATCAAAAGGCACCTGCAAGCATACCTATTCCAGTCATAAAGGCCATGTCATCAGGATCCTACAATGCCAGTTTCATCGTGATGCTGTCAGAGTATGAACATGTCTGGTGCCTTCTGGGTACTTTATGTACTTGCAGAAGCAGGCGAATCAACCTGAGAAATCTTTGGCTGCCAGTGTCATCGGTCCTCTGCCCGCCTGGCTGTGACCTTTCCCGCTGCCTTTCTGCAGACACAAAGCACGTGTCCCTAGAGGTGGCTGTCAACTGTAGCAACCACATGAAACCAGGCTCTGGTTTTCCTAAAGAGACTCAGCCTGCCTCGGTGCTGTGGCCAGCGGGGGGAGGGGCAAGGTTTTTAGGGATCAGACAATGCCTTCCTCTTTGTCCCTCTTTCCAGCTCTATCTCTCTGCCTTTTCCTGACTTTGTTCTTTGTTTAAAAGGTCTGGATGGAGGAGCAGAGGCAGCTGTTGTGCAAGGGATGTAATTTTGACCCCTTCTGCTCCTAAAAAATCAATACTCCTTTGAGTCTCTGTGCAGAGTGTTTTATAGACTCCTTTCTGGGCAGCCCCAATCTGTAAAAGCTGGTATTATCTGATGACCCTTCTCATACTTACACATTTTTTTTTTTTTACAAAATATTTCCAGAATGTCACCTTCTTCTACAACCGAGACTTTACTGCACATGTCTGCTTTGTGACAGTATATCTTTTCTGCCCAGTTTGGAAGGGAAACTTCCCGATTTACATACCTGAAGGCACTGGGGGATGACAAAGGTCATCAGCTGACAGGGTAGTCTTAAGAAGGACGGGAGCAAGAGGTGGGCTGGCCATGTTAAACATGAATGGAGCCAAGAGCTTGGCTATGGGCTTTTTGCCAAGACAGAGAAAAATCCATCCACTTGAGGACATCTGTCACCTGTGATAAGGCCCAGCCTTCACCAGCATGACCTCAAAGACAGAAGACACCTAGGTTTTATTCTTCCTATTGTATGTGCCACTTCACAAGGGGAGAAACACGCGAGCTCCATGGAATTGCCAAATTCTAGAGCTAGAAGAGGTTTCAGATGTCATGTCACCCAGATGTTGCAAACAGGGGGCCAGCTGGGTCCCCACGAGGGACACAACTTTGTTTGGCCTGTGCGGTGTTTTTGTTTTTTGTTTGTTGTCAACATTTGAAAATCAGGAGATTTCAGATAAAAATAAAGTTTGAGAGATTTTCTTGAAACACTGGACACTCTGGCCACTCTGGCCCCATTCCTGCATGGGAACAACTGAGAGGCAACTCTTCCTTGGGCTTCCAGAGGCCCAAATCCCTACTCTTCGCTTACTTAAGGTACATCCAGATGCACCTGGGTTTGTGACCCCTCTCCCGAATTCAGCCTGCATCCCACAGCCTTTTTCCTCTGTGAGGAGACAGGAACCTAGAAAATGAGGTGTTTCCCCAGGCCTCATGGGGACTAACAGAGAGAGTCCCTTCCGAGTTCCCTCAGCCTTGCCAGGGACTGTTCTAGGGGGCTTTGTTTTAGTTAGAGGATTCCTATAAACTTAAAACAAAAACCAAAACAGATCATTCAAGAAAAAGGAAGGCAGCATTTTGTAATGGGAAGAGCATTGTGTTGGGTTTCTGATAGACCCAGATCCAAACCCTGGTATTTTTTTTTTTTTTTTTTTTGGGCAGATCCTGCCACAGGTTTATTTGAACAAATAGCACAGGAAGACATCAGCCCCATGCAGACAGAAGCCTAGGGGTCACACCAGTCCTTCCGTCCTCACCTTGGCAGACAGAGCCTCTATACTTGGAAACTTCGTGGGGTACTGGGCACCTTCCGGAGCTGCAGCCTGGCCTTGGTTTGAGCCTTGGCCTTGGCCTCTGGCCAGCAGAGCCTGAGACCCTTGGCAACGTGGGCATGAGCATGTTTCAAGTTTGGGGTGAGCGATACAGGCAAGTCAACCAGCTTGTAGCTGCCACTCTTTGAGATCCTGGGCTTGGCCTCCTGAGGCTTGACGAGGGCTTTGACAGCCTTGGCATGGGCACTCATGGCCTTAGTGTTGTTGGCTTGCATCTCCTTTAGGCCCTTCTTACTGGGCTTCTTGGCAAAGCGCATGTTTCTCAGGAACTTGGGATCTACGCCTCTTAAGAGATACATATCTTGGGCACCTGGGTGGCTCAGTTGGTTAAGCGACTGCCTTCGGCTCAGGTCATGATCCCGGAGTCCCGGGATCGAGTCCCGCATCGGGCTCCCTGCTCAGCGAGGAGCCTGCTTCTCCCTCTGACCCTCCCCCCTCTCATGTGCTCTCTGTCTCTCTCATTCTCTCTGTCTCAAATAAATAAATAAAATCTTAAAAAAAAAAAAAAAAGAGATACATATCTTTGTGACCAGAGTTTTTTGATACCGTTTCTGTGCCCATTTTTGTGGAACGGTGGTGCATGCTGTGGTTCTTGGACTTGGCCATGTCTACACCAAAGCCTACAGCTCCCCCAAACCCTGTACTTAAGTACAATTATTTAGTACTTGAGTACAGTTATGTGGACATCTACCAATGAACCAAGCAGAGAGAAAATACCTTTGGTTCTTACTCTTAGCTGTGTGAGCTTGTTCAGCCTTGTAACTTCTCTGACCTGCACAATGGGAATACTGATACCTGTCTTGGGAGTGGTTGTGAGGGTTGGTGCTAATTCTGTGAAGTCCTTCCTGATACCCTATGCCTGTTCATCAGTCCCCTCGGCCCCATTAACCCCCCAAAATGTGACAACTTCTTCCTTTGTGCCATTTGGCCCTAGTCACCTCTATTCCTGCCCCTGTTACAGTACTGCATTTGCCCCCAGTTAGATTGCAAATCCAGACATGGGGGCCCTGTACCTGTTTTTATGACTCTGGCACCTAATACTTCATAGGTACGTTGTGACTGTTTGTTGAAATCCCCTAACACAATGGCTGTGATTTTTAATAACTAGCATGTTGGAATGAATGCATCCAGATCCATTCCACCCTTCAAAACAGTCATCTTGGCAGACCAGTGAGAACACCATTGCTCAAAGCTGGTCTAGAACTTGGTGCTTGGACTTGCTTTTGGGCCATCCTGGAACTACCCAAGAAAACTTGTCTCTTTCCTTTGTTACCATGTCAGATTTTCCACCCAAACAATACTTACCACCTTCTTTGGTATCTTAATTCTATCAATATCAAGGATGTCATAGTTCTCCAAACCTGTAAAACACTCCATACATTTACTTTGTTATTATTATCTGGCCAAAGAGCCATGGCCAAACTTACCTTAAGGAATGAAAAATTGCCACCACTGAGAATTATACAAAAGAATATTCTGCAGCAATGAAAGAAATGCCAGAAGAGATATCAATACATTTTGAATAATGAGGATGTCATTAGAATAAGAAAGTGCTTTGAAGGAAAGTCTTTTCATTTAAATGAATGAAAAAAAAATCAATCCCATTGCTCTATAGTTACCCTGTGCCTGGAGGGATGAAGGAGGAAAGAGCCAGCCAACGAGGTAACAACACAGTGTCCAGAAATAGTTAAGACCCAAAGTGGATTACATACACTCCAATCATTGTCCCACATCACCTGATTCCTGATTCCTCCATTTATCATAGGAAGAGAAGCATCCCTTGGGGTGGTCTTGTTTTTGCTCCAGAATAATTGATACAAATATCTCCTCCAGCTAGGCTTTTCTGAGCAGTGGTAGAAATGACCATAGAGACAAGGCTGGGACCATGAATACTGCAGAGGACCCAGGAATGGAGCTGACAGTCCAGTTGAGGAGATGAGGCAGGACAGAGAAAGCATACACAGCATTAAGGGAGAGGGGGCAGGGGAAGAGGCCAACTTCGCCTGCTGGGTTTCAGGAAGGTACCATGGAAGAAACAATGGTTCTGTTGGGCTATAAAATCCCGGGAGCCCTGGGAATGTGTTGGACCAGCAGAGCGGGCAGGGGAGGAGGCCATCCAAGCTGAGGGAGAAGGGTGAACTACTTGCTAACTAAGACTAAAACCATACACAGTAAAGACATAATTTGTGGATTAGCCACTTACCTTGCTTCTCATCTTTCCTTCGAGGGTAGAAAGAGCATTGTGAGTTCTAAATCGGTGTTACTTATTTTCCGTGTGACCTTGGAACATCATCAGGTCTCTTTGCATCTCAGTTTGCACATCTGTTAAAAAGAAGAGAAATACCTGACTTTCATATCTCACCAGGTTGTTCAGAGGATGGAATGATATAATGCATGTGAAAAATTGTTTATTCATTCATTCATCCGTTCATTCCTTCAAGTAACCACACACTGAGTCCTTCAGGATTCCATCAAGAGGAGAGGGGGAAAGACGTGGATATGGAATTCCAATCAGATCAAGAGCTATAACCAGTTCTATCAGGAGAGAGAACTAGACAATAATCACTGGAGACATTTGAGCATTGGCTTTGGAAATGCTCTCTTGGACCCTAAACTGCTACTAATTGTATTCTTTCTCTCTTTTCATTAACCGTTAAAAAGATAAAGTTTCAATACTGACTGAGAAGCATCTTGTGTGAGAAAGTCAACTGGGGTCAGGAGTGTGCACCCCAAAGCTGGTCTCTGCATGTGAATGTCCAGACAGGGCCAGAAGTCCATGCCCCGCACCTGCAAGGTGTCTTACCCTTGTGCCTCTTCCCCCTTTACAAGCCTAGTACTCTGCCTGAAGACGTGGGTGCTTGGTTTCTCATTTCTTTGGGCAAAATAGAAGAACCAAGGGCATGTGGGGGATGTCACACTTTTCCTTGATGTTGTCATCCCTGGTAGGGTGTGTCCAGTACTCTCAAGAGTCCCCTTTATTACTTTGAGGAGGATCCCAGAATGAGGCTTCCCAGCTTCCCTCTTTTTGGTTGATACTGGTCAAAACACTGACTGCTTTGTCTGAGTTCACACCCCTCCACTTTTTACCTGGGTTCTTGGGGGCAGGACAGTTGCTAGGAGCCCCTTAAGGAAGATTAGGAAGAGGTGAAAAGGTAAAGTCTGGGGCAGTATTTACTCTCCCACGGCAGCCTGTGTAACCGAGAGAATGAATGAGGAAGGCTACAGATAAGGTTAATCAACACAACACGCTCATTGCTTCATAGGGACACTGGTTACGATTTTATTAAACCCTGAGAATGTTTTTTGATAAAGACAAAAATCATGTGGTGTTTTTCACTGTTAAATTCCCTCAGAAAATCAGGCCTTTCCAGACGATGGCTTGACATTCTCTGTAAACACAATTAGTCTGGGGTTCCTGCCACATGGTAGTAAAGATGCCTTCACAAAAGCAGGAGGGAGATTAAATGATTACATTAGCAGAGCAAATATATGTATGATAAAGTTTTATGAGCTCTTCTTCCAAGAAAGGGGCTCTGTAAAAACAATATTGTATTATCCTTGTTCCAAAGCTCAGGGAAATGTAGCCTCCCCTATTCATCTTGGCATTTTGTGATCACATTTATCTATTCATGACTTTTCCCCCCAAGAAAATTCAAACCAAATGTCATCATATTAATATTATTTAGTGTTGAATCTTTAAATATCTTGTTTTATACCTATATATCCTTCTCTTTGAGGTGGTAACTCAAACTTTTTCTCAGGATATAGGAAAAACGTATAGCAGCAAAGCAAACATTAAAATATTAATACAATGTGATTTCTTGCCAAGATTATGAGATTTCCTTCTCTGTGGGATTTTTGACAGTCATTTTGTTGACTCTCTGGGAATGGGCTGAGAGCTGATGGATGGGCCGAATGATGCTCTGGGCATTAGGGCTACTTTCTCCATAAGCACAACCCTTTGGTAAAACCAGAGCGTCTGTCCAGGTGATCTGCTCGTCCTGGCAGCCAGAGGTTTACGGTCCAAGACAGACAGATGGCTATTGCAGGTCACATCATGCTGTTCTAATTATAAAGCTAAATTAATGTAACACAAGCTAACTCTTCACATTGGGTAAAGGAAAAAGTGTACCTATAACACGGGTGGCTGAAAAGGAAACTATGGAAGCCATATATTAGCATCCGTCACCACTGGTCTTCCGGTTAGTTGAAGAAAACATCCCCAAGTAAAAGTTTTTGTTGTTTGTGTTGCTGAATGACAGCACAGAGCTTGAAGGGTTGGGAAAAGGGTGATTCTTGGTCTTCCAGACTTTCATTCCAGTAATTGGGAGGGAAGCGTAACAGCCAGAATACGGATTGCTCTTCATTTCTGAAAGCTGTAAAGGATTTCCCAAAGGCTCATTACATTAAAACATCATGGAAATTCTGCTTAACTCTATTTGTTATCTACTGCTGTGTAACAAATGACCCTTAAACCTAACGGCTTAAGACAACAATTAACATTTATTATCTCACAGTTTCTTTGGGTCAGGAGTTCTGATGTGGCTCAGAAGGGTAGTTCCAGTCTCTCATGAGGTCAGATGACAGTTGGGATTACAGTCATCTGAAGTGTTGGAGGATCTGCTTCCAAAATGGTGCATTCTCATGACTGATGAGTCAGTACCAGCTGTGGATGAGGCATCTCAGTTCTTCACCACTAGGACTTCCCCCATAGGGTGGCCTAAGTTCCCCATGACGTGACAGCTAGCTTTCCCCAGAGTCAATGACCCAAGAGAAAACAAGGCAGAAGCTATGATGTCTTTTAGGACCTAGTCTCAGTGGTCACATTCCATCATTTCTGCAAAATCGTACTGGTTATACAAGTCAGCATACGTGGGTAGGAACAACAGAAAATTATTAATACCAAGAGGTAAGAATTACTGGTAGCCATCATGGAGGTTAGCTACCATATTAATTTATCTGAATCTTCAGCCTATCTTTTACCCAGTGTAGCAGTACTTTTTGAAACATTGTTCTGTGGTTTTCCTCAAGATGTTAATAAGAATTTGGCAAAAACCAGTACCTACCCTCTCTTTCACCCCCACAACACATACATATACCACCACTACCAATAACAACCTTCAATGGTCAAAAGAAATGTGGCAAACAAACATTTTGGAGACTCATAATTCACTTGACATCATGAAAATTCTGAAGAGCACTCTAGTAAGTAGATGTGTTCAAATTTCACTCACCATTTCTTACTCATTTGACCTTG